CGGCGGCGCAAGCCCTACCGGGCACTGGGTGACACGGGAACCCCCCCCACGGGAGTCGGTCCTCCCGCGGTCGTCTCGGACCAGTCACGTAAGCCAGAGCGAGAAGAATGGCTGCGTTCCGTGTGCGTGGGGAACGGAGCAATGATTACGTTGGCACGTTGGCAAGAAAACCATGAGGCTGGGCATTTTTTGACGCTATTCACGATTATTGGGTGGGACGGCTATTCGTCACTTTCCTTTCGTCCGCCTCGGAACAAGCATGATTGTCGACCCGCCTCCCGTCCCTTTTATTCTGTTTTAGCTTCGGGCTTTTCCCCAGCAGGGGTTCCCGATGCTGTGGTGAACTAGACGAACTAGCAGCCTGGACGACAGGAGGCCCCCAATTGCCAACTATCGGGCCAGGACCATACGGCCGGCCGGTCGGTGAGGCGGGAGGGCGTTCACCAGTGCAAAGCGACTGACGATCACTCTCCTCTCGCCATCTCTTCCCTTTTCTCCTTCTCCCTCTCGACCGGTTTCGGCGCTAGAGGTCCGATCTGGTCGACAACTTCCGCCCAAAGTTCGCTTGCCGTCGCCATGCCCCACCCCGGAGGCTCGTGCCCCCTCCCCCCCCGTAGCCATGTCCGATATGGTGAGGTGAGGCCAGCGGATATATACGCCAGGGCGTCTGGCGCCGGTTTTTTTCTTTTTCTGTTTGGATATTCGGGCGATCCCGCCTTGGCATGGTTCTTTCGACCCGCTTCCGTAGACACACGAGGCAACATCTGTATCGCCGAGCAGTCCCCATGGGGGGAGAGGGAGGCGTGTGTATGTATGTGCCAAAACGCAGTGGCCTGCAGGGTTGCAGATCTGCCGCCGCCGCTCCCCCGTGTTCCTTGCCCGTCTTTGAGTGAGAAGCGAAAGGGCCGCTACCTTCCTGGAAGGCACCCCCCGCAGGAAGGAGAGAAGAAAATCTTGAAGCAGGGTGGCATCTTGTGTGGGTTTCCCGCGGCGGTCGTTTTGGCCGCGTAGTGAGTTGCGCTTGGGATGGGGCCATCTTCCAAAGCTCTAGCAGCCTTGGCTGATAGGGAGGTTTGTTTGCAAGATTCCATGGTGCTGTGTTTCTGTTCATAAGCCTTCTACTACGGTGTTGGGTACCGGGCATGGTCTTTATGCCGTGTTGGAGTACCTGTCTATCTATGCGACCTTGAGAGGAACCGTCTTGAATACGCACCTCGGTATACCGGACATTGGCTCGGCATCAGAGAACATACCGTGCGGAGATCAGACGTGGCAGCCAGGCATGGGAATTAAGTTACCGGTGCTGCATGCTTACTGCCAAGTCCACCGTATGGACAAGCCGCGTATTCCCTGCTGGCCGGAGACGAGGCTGTCCCAAACGGACATCTAGCAGGTACCGGATTTATCCCATATCTCTTTCCCTTTGTATCTGGCCGAGTATCCACACGAAACCGCCGACGGCGGCGACGTATCAAGAAAGAGGCCGAGGCCAGCCGCGGAGCCGGTGACGGATAGCAACGAGTGACGGCGAGGCGTAGCTGCTGGCTGCATGTCGGCCTTTTACACTCGACATGTCAGCTGTCTGTCTGCTATTGTGGGTTCTTGTCCCCTCAGAGAGAGAGACACTCGCAGCGAGACTTTCATGGACGGAATGTGTGAGAGAGAACCCAAGTTCGAGCTCGGTGGAGTATGAAGGGAATAGGAAAAGGCGGAAACATATGTGTGGTCTGCTTCTCATGCCGAACTGTTGCCATTTTGGCAGCTCCACGGCCGGCCCCTCCGCAGCATACCCCCCGATCTGTAAACGCGAGTTTTGCCGCATATAATTTTCTTACCTCTTCTGCCGTATTGCCTTCGAATACCATGATCCTCACGTCCAAGCCGTGACTTTCGTCGTTATGTATACAAGTGATGACGGCTACGAAGTCCTCGAACGTCTTCCTCGCCACCGGAGGCGCCTCTACCCCTCGCAGTTCAGCAAGCACCGACCCGGCGCCGTGCCCCGCCGCGCACCACGCTAATGCAATAATTGCAATATAAACGAAAAAAAAGGAAGAAAAGAAGTACCAAGAGAAAGTGAATTTAATCATCAACGATGCTGCCCCAAGGAGTAGTGTTGCGCCTAAGGGGGCTCCGCCCTCGTGGGGTGGAGAAGGAGTGCGGGGTTGTGTTGGATACATATTGTGCAAATTTTCTTCGAATACCGACAGCATCCGATATGGTGTAGTGGCCAACATGATGCCCTCTCATCCCTGTGAGAGGTTAGGCATAGCCCCGAGTTCGATTCTCGGTTTCGGAACATTTTGTTTTTGGGGGTTATTTGTACCTTTTTTTTGCTTTATGACGTGACTCGCCTTCTCTCTCCGCCTGTGTTCTGTTTGTTTTGCTTGGGGAGGCTCCAACCCGAGTGTTGTCTCCACCCCCCCTCCCCCCTACAGCGCTGATGCGAGTAGATCGGTATGTGAAGGCCTTTAGAAACTGAGAGGCTCCCTCTATCAGAGTCCATCAGAGTCGTGAAAGCACGCAGGGTCAAGAGAGAAGGGAGGGTGAACCCATCTTGAGAGGACGTGGGCTCAAAGGGCGTCGGCGGCGAGGGCCACCAGCACCATGAACCTTGACGAGTATCTTCTTATGCCATGATGGTGTTGGGTGGGAGCTAGGGTAGGGGGTGCAAGTGATACCGAAGTCGCCGAGCGACTAGGCAATGATGGCAGACGATGGTTCGAGGGTCCGAGTTCTCAGAGTATACGACTCATTCTCGAAACCCCCTTGCCTCTCTAGCCGTCAAGATTGTTCCCTTCTCCTCAGTCATCCAGTATGTTTTCACGCAAACCCAAGGGACGGATGTAGCTAGACAGAGAGAAATCAGGCTGCCAGGCTCCATGATGTCAGCAGTTACACGAATGAATGGGGGGGGGGGGGGGGGCGGCCGGTCGATCGCGTACTGAGGCTCACAGTTCAGAATCCCACACAGGCGTTGTTGTTATAGGCTCGAGCTCTCTCTTTCTTGAAACTACCGACTACATAGAATGCCATTGTCGCCGCGTTCAAGGAGGGGATTTGGTGTTACCACGCCATTCAAGCGTCTAATCATAACATAGTACAAAACACCATTCGTGCCTGCCGGCCTTGGCTCGAGATGGATACCAGCTAGCTCCACGTCCTGTCACCGAGAGACTGGCGGCATATGCCCAGAGGGAGAGCCGAGGGGAGGCATTGAAGTGATGGCTCCGGAAACAAGCCAATCCTTTCCATGCCATCTCATGTCTGCCACATGGCAGCACACAATCGAAATCCGTCACAGGTTCGACTGACGCCAATTCTTGGACCACGAGCCTGGGAAGTGACACGCAGCATTCGCTTGTACAGCTGCCGCGAGAGATGCCGACTCCTCATCTATGGGGATCCGGTCCTTAGGAGCCGGCCCTTCTATTCCCAAGGGTGGAAAGAGGAAGCCGCGAGGCTCAGAGTCGTCAAAAACTTACTTCAAGCTCCGAATAGCAATGAATCCGCTTGTAGATATCCTCTGGGCCGAGGGCAATCTCCCTAGCTCGAAGCTCTAATGCGCGGGGCGTTCTAAGAAGGGGGGGGGACGAGCACAAGACAAGCCTGGCCAACCATGACCCGAGGCGTCATGTTTCCGTGACCAAGACCAAGATGGGCTCTTCAGGGAAACTCCTTTAACTAAGGGGTCAATTCGGGTTGGCAGCCCAGGATAAGCTCTGGCCGCAGGTCTCGCCTTTTCCCCAGCTAACAAGCCCCTGCTCTGCACGTACAAGAGCAGAACACCTAAACCGCCTAAAGTGGTTTCTTTCAGGCCGTCCGCAACAGAAGACGATGCCGTGTCTGTCGCCCGGAACATTTAACCTCCCAGCCCACGTAGGCCTACTCGACAGCATCGTGGTGCGTAGACCGCCGACTCCCTCGACTCGGGATGGCGTGTGCTCGTGCTGAATCTCTCTGAGGCTACTTCTTTATCGTCGACCGGGAAAAGCCAGGCTAGTCGACTGTACCGAATACTTGACCAAGAAGACGAAGAAGCCCTTCGAGGTAGGGGGGAGAGAGAGAGAGGCCGTGAAGTCGGCACCGCGCCGCCGACTTGGGCCCCGTACCCACGTCATGGGTACAAGGAAAGTCTCGAGCAGCAGGCCGGCACGCCGGCGCGTTGCCTCGGAACCCGACGCCCAAACAACCGCCGCGGCTTCGGTCCGCGCGCGTGGTGTGCATCTCGATCGGCACCACCACGTCCGTCTCCGCATCCGTGCTCGCGCATGGTGTATCGAGCCGTGCAAGCCGAGCGTCTGCTTTGCGTTCATGAACCGTCCGTGACAGCCCTCGCGATGATCCTCTTATCGTGGTACAGGCGGCCTGCTTGCGATGGTCAGCCGTTCTATCGCGGAAAAGGGGGGAGAGAAAAGTGTCAAGGATCGGCGTGTCGTGCGAGATTCGCCCTAGTTTACCATAATACCCACCCCAGAAAACGCGACGATCGTATAGCCGATCAGCAAACATGGAGGACACTGTGTAATTTGCGTGAGATAAGAAGGCTCCTCCTGTCCGTCGTCGGATGGCGATAAACCGTGGTGGATCATTACAATCACCATTGGAATTTCAGGGTCACAGGCTCTGACCGTTTGTGGATAGATAATCACATCTTTATTCAATAGACACGTTGGCAAAGGCGTCACTGGCTGACGTACACCTTTACGCATCATCCCATACCCCTTCACATAAAGTAAAAGTAGAACATCCGCGACGCCGGGGCCCATCCCATAAGAGCCCTGTCCATCCAAAGTCGTCCCTCGGCCTGGTCCCGTAGGCGCAATCCGACCGGGTCGTCTGACAAAGGTAAATACGAGAAAGAAACATGGGAGTGCATCCCTGATATATAGGCAGGTAAATAGTAGTAAGCAAATCGTGATGAAGGCCGCCAACGTCCATCATGCATGCGGTATTCGGGCGGGGTTTATTTTTATTTTATTGGCTTTTTTTTGTTGCTCTTAGTCCCTGGTGGCGTGTTCATCGCCAAAGGGACTGCAGTCCCGTTCGTAGGAGCTCGTTCTTTGTGACCGTCTATCGGGTCCCGCTGCGGCTCGCCGTGTGGCCTCCTCGATGACCGCACTCAAGCTTTGGTTGTTGCGGGTGGATACGGAACTAGACTCAGAAGGATCAGAGAAGGGACCCTGATCGACGACTGAATCTTTGCCGACAGTGGAGGCGGCGGAGTCAACAAGAGTGGCGGTAGGTGCACTGGATGACGGTGTCCCGGGTACAGAGGCCACCTCTGCTGTTGATGAAGGCTTGAAGGACCCAACGCTGACCTGCTTGGGCCCGTTGCCGTTGCCGACACGAACAACCTGCGCTCTTTGGGCAGGGGCTGCGGTGGCAGTAATGGCGTTGTTGAGGAAAGTGGATCCCACGCTGAAGGTGCTGTCACGGCTCTTGGGAGTGCCTGGGGCATACTTCTGGTAGTCGACGCTGGGGACGGGAGGGGTCACGGTACCGCTGGTACCGACAGTCAAAGACTTGACGCTCACTACGGCAGCCTTGGCACGCATGCCGGTCTGGGCAGGTGCAACGACGACGGCGTTCTTGCCGTAGATGGTCGAAGCGATACTAGGTGCAATACTGGAGCGAGCGGCGTACGAGGTTCTGGCAACGGACGAGCGGTCGGTATAGCCGGAGATGCCGGAGTAGGTGGAATCGCGAAGCTCGCCGGGAACGAAGAAATGCTGCTCCTCGTACGGGGACGGGCTGTTGGCGGCGGAGTTGGAGGCGTGCATCGGGATGGGGGGTACGGGGGGGACGAGGAGGGTCGGTGACGTGGGCGTGGCGCGGTTCGTGACACCGGGGATGTAGGCGATCTGGATTATGTTGGAAGCTCGGGTGAGCACCGTGGACGCAATCGAGTGCACGGTATGTGTCGAGTCACGGTTGCTCTGTCGCGGTTGGCCGGTCGTCTTCTCGTTGATGGTCTTCTCGCTGGTCTCTTCCATGTAGGATTCCTGAATAATGGACTGCCTCTTGGTCTTAATGAAGAACCTCCACACGAGGTAGGTGGCGATCGCGATGACGACGAGACCGCCAATGACACCTCCGACGATGGCGCCTGTATTGGGCTGATTGTCGGACGAAGACGACGAAGAGCTATCGTCCTTGGCGCAGAAGGCCTGGGCACAGGTATTACATGTCGGGATGGTGAATGAGCAGAACTCGTCGGATTTGCAGTTGGTCGGGCATGTCGGTGCCTTGTCCTCGCACTTGAGGCAGCCGTTCTGACGAGGGAGGATAACTGTGGTCGTGTCAGTGGGGGAGGGGGGGGCGAAGCGGGACGAGCTTGTCGTGAGATCGGGCAACATACCAGCGCGCAGCTCCTCGAGCGAGCGGAGATGAAGGTTAGGGTCGAATTGAGCCATGATGGATATAATCTGGCTCACGATGAATAAAGCAAAACTAAGTCGAAAACGCTGATCAAGCACCGTCGATCTCGAAGGGAGGCGGTTGTGTGAAGGTGTCGATCGGTTCCGGGAGCGCTCAGACACTTGAGTCGAGTGGACCGTTTCGTCGGTGCTGGGGAAACCGTTCGTCGGAGGATATGGCGACAGATATAATGAAGGAAACAGAATGTCGGCTCGATAGGACAGTCGTAGTCTCTTGGCGGAAGCACACGTCGAGGAATGCGTGATGTGGCTGGGGTGGTTTGGACTGGAATGGACGAGATGACGGGGCGAGGTATTTGGTAAGAGAGCCTTTCGGGGCGGTAGCGAGAGAGTGAGATAGAAGGTATGGTAGTTGGTAAACGAGTGGACTGTGAGACTAGCTCGGCATTTGCGGTGGTAGAAAGGTTGGGCGACTAAGCGAGTGAAGTGAAAGACATCAACGGCGATCTGTCAAGCTGTCGACCGGAAGATCGAACGACGACGACGCTGACAGGACGGGTGGACGGGGTTCGAATCTCTTTTTGTCGTCGAAGGTGTAGGTTCCTGGCCGAGAGAACCTAGAGATGTTGGGTGGAGGAAGAAGGACGTGGGAAGGGTCGGTTGAAAGAAACGAAAGTGAGCAACAAGAAAGAGGCAGGCCAGACAGCGATACTCTGCTTGGGCTGACTGGGGTGTAAGAAGGGAATGAACGGGATGGTGATGAATGGGGGGGGGGGGGGGGGGGGGGGAAGAGGAGAGGGCGAAGCGAATGGGACAGTAGAGGGGAGTGAGAGAGTGAAATGGGCTAGATCCAGCTCTGGTATAGTCCGGGTTGTTGGTCTCCCATGGGCGTTAAGCGGCAGCAGGTGGAGGGCGGAGCTAAAGCTGAAAGGGGTGCGAAAGGAAGGGGGGGGGGGGGGCTGAGAGCCTGAGAGTTCAGTAAGGGACTGGCAGAGAAACAGGGACGGAAAATGATAGAGGGGGGTGTCAGAACCAAAGACGAACGCCCGGTGGGGAACGAGTCGGACTGGACCAGGGACCATGGTTGGAGGGAAAAGGCGCAGGTGCGCAGCAGTGGAAAGGAAGGAAGGAAGCGAATCTGCGGGACACAGGCACGAGATTGATTGCTCAGGGATCATGGTGCTGTCGAAACCTGTGTACAGGGGGTGAATACGCGCTGTGATTGGCCAAGATCTCCAGATGGCAAGAGCAAGGCAGCGCTTGTGGATCCCTTGATTCCCCCGACACCCCTGGCTAAACAACGCCCCGGCGTGGGTCCAAGGTCCAAGGTCCAAAGTCTGTCTGGTCTGGACCTTAGTTTGTGCAGCCATTCCATCATCCTCACTCATCCACCTATCCGTATTACCTATGTATACCTACACTACCTAATGCCCTCAGCCAGGGAAAAGAAGCGTGCCCCAGTGCCCAGGAACCACTACCGGCCGCTTTCACAATACGGCATTAGTGTGCGCCTTGTGGATATTTGCCATCAATCCGATCCAGCCAGCTAGCCAGCCACTGATGCCGAATAACCCGATGGCCGCTCTCCACAGCCTTAGGCACTTGCCATCATCATTGCCAGTAGGTATCGCTTTCCAATTCCCTAACCGAGGTGGACAGCATCGGGAACCAACTCCCGATTATTGCATGCAATGTCCAGACCTGTGCATTCTTCATTGGGGCAGGCGGGGTGGATGGGGGGCGGGGACGTACCCAGAAAAACAAATAACAAAAAAACTGGCCAGGTTTCCTGTCGAAATACTCCGTAGGTAGCCAAGCACAACCGCCACTGCCGTGATCTTACGGTATCTCGGTATGGCTCAGGCATAATCCATGGTCGTACGGATACTACCTATGCGCTCGCGCACGCGCGCGTGGTTGTATTTGTGTGTATGAATGCGTCTTTATGGCCCCATCCAATATTGCATCCTGCTGCCATCCATCAATTGGGGAGTCCCAACCTGGTAACCCGCCCCCGATGCATCATCCGATATGTGCAAACGATACCTGACACGGGGAGACGATTCCTCTTCTGACCAAAAACCCAACAAACATGACCCTATGGAAATTGTTTCCGAATGGGAGAACGGGGCGGGGAGGGGGAAGGAGGCGCAATAGCCATTTCCTCACCTCGCTTGCTCGCTCGTGGACTGCAACATCCCATTAGGAAACAAAAAGGGTCTCGGATCCCACGTTATCCCACAAATTCACCTCCGCCGTGCTCTAGAGTCGTTGCCCAACCCGGGCTTAAGAGACCTCCTATTAAGCTTCAGGTTCGCAAAATGGACTCCCGTTCGCGGTTGGTCCCACCGCCCGCCACCGTTGCAGCGGCTATGGGGGGAGGTAACAGGAGGGCGGCCGCAAGCCGGTTATCTGGCCACTCTTGTAGACACAAACCCGCGCGCAGGACATACGCACATCGCGTCACGTCACATTGACCAGAAGCATCACGATTGCCGATTGCCTCCCGCCCCATCCTCCGACTCAGCAAGATCTCGAGATACGAACTCGACTGAAACGGATGGGGGCGATGGCCGGCTGGACGGTAATGCGCTCGACTGGCCGAAACGGCTAAACCAGAACAACCCCAGCACGACCAGAGACAGCTACGAGAATTAACAGTCGAGATGGTGAAAAGCACCGCCGCCCCGTGTCAGGCCCTCCCTGCCAAACATCCTCATGGTTACGTTTCCTGACGTTTTCCTGACGAGCCCACAGTCTTGTTGCTCATGCGTGAACCTCTCGTTCCTTTGGCCTTTAGTCTTGACCCGCACGTCATGTTTCCAACATAGGTTCATCCGCCCCATCCTCCCTTCTCAACTAACCCCCTATACCCATCGACGCGTCACGAATCCAGTCAAGCCAAACTGTCAGGGCTCTGTGACAGCGACGGGTCCTAACCTGAAATCCCGTGTTGTGAGGCAGGCACTGGACCCGAAACGCAAACAAGAACAAACGTGCGCCTGGGCGAAGGGGGGGGGGGGGGGGGGGGGGTGGTTGAATGTGAACGCCGAGGTGGCACCCCACGATTGAACAGTTGCTGCGCTGGGCCGCCGTGCCGAGGGAGGCTCTAGACCGAAAGATCTGCACTCACCACTCGAGGGATCTTCATTCCTGCACCTAAGCTCTAGGACAATCCTTGAGAATGGGAGAGTGGAGGGAGGGCCGGAAGACCTCCCTACTGTGCTCCCAGCCCCCAGTCTTCCTCGGCCAGTTTTGGCGAGGAGGAAACAGCTAGTCCGCCTGCCAAGACATACGATAAAGTAAAAAACGAAAAACCTCATCGAGCCAGATTTTGGTCGGTAGCAAACCCTCCGATGCTGGGCGATCACCTTCCCAACTCCTCCCAGACCGACCCGCGCCGGTTGCTCTCCCGCCGCAAAGGAAGAGGCGGGGAGGGATGCTCCGGCTTGGAGTGTGTGGCTGACTGACTGACTGCCTTCATCCAGTATGGGCTACTCCTCGCTGCACCGGCAACACCGACACCACCGCTCACAGCACCGCACGCTCCCTTCTTCAGGCAGAGCAGCCTCCCCCTCCCCCCCCCGGTATCCGGTGGGCAAACCGCCACGCCGCGAGGTGGAGGTGTCAGACGTATGTTTGGGTATGTGTGTCTATAGAAAGTATGTGCTTGTCCGCGAATCCGGGTCTCAAGATGGCCAGCCGCTAACCTCTTCACGGTGCGCATGCGCGCGTGGCCCCCGGCTAGCAGCAGGAACACAGTTTGTTGGTCTGGGACCTCTCGGGTGCATCACTAGGCTAGCTTACTGGGCGTCCTGTCTCCCTCGGCCCTTGGCTCACATCCCACGACTGCTAGCGAGCATGAGTTGTCTCAGATAGGCTTGCTTTAAGAAGCGGTCCTGAAATCTCTAATCCCCGTCGCCCGCTGGCCAGACCAGAAGAAGGGTTCATTCGCGAACCATGCAGGCTTCATTCATCACGCCAGGTAAGCAAGGCCAATCGTATCAAGCAGCAAGCAGGACCCGCAGAAGAAGAAGAAGAGAACATGGTAACAGTGGCGGGTTCTCGCGGTGCCGAAGAAACGTGGGTTTCCGTCCCAATCCCGCGACAAATCGACCTTATTTGGCCGGAAATAAATACAGAAATAGAAAAGGAAAGAAAGACAACCGCTTCGTCAGTTCATCGATGCCAGTGTCAGTCAGCCCTAGGAAGAGAAGGAAGGAATATCAGGCGTCCCCCGACCAATCAACGAACCACCACACCCCTGCTGACATGGCAAAGAAGGAGGGCAATCTTCTGGACCCTCATTTCCCTCGCCCGCCCAAAGCTCTTCTTTCTGACATTGAAGAAAAACTAATCGTCCCGACTGAAAACGACTCGACTCACGTCGTCGTTGTCATCGTCGTGGGCCTCCTCGCTATGGCCTTTCTTTTTTGCTTCTTGATCATGTCCGCCCTACGTCTACGAATACTCCAGTGTGTCTGAATCCGCACCCTTGTCGCCGAACGTCCAATGGCGAAGGAGCCAGCCCTCTCCTCCTCTCCTTCCCCCCCTTCCCCACCCGAAAAGACGTATCTGCAAGTTGCCGCTCGACGGTGCTCGCTCGCGGCTTCCCACGGCGGCTTGTTTGAGAAATGGCGGTAGCTACCGGCTATTATGTAACCCAGGCCCAGAACAACAAAATTACCGTAATCCCAGATCGACATCGCTCTTTTGTGTCTTTTTTTTTTTTTTTTTTTTTTTTTTTGGTTTTTGTTTTTTTTAGTCCCCCCTTTCTTTTGCACCTTCCAAGATGGTTAATACATCCAATGCTGGTACCCGCTCCGGGAAGCTAGCAGGTTTCTTCTCCGTGGGTCGGCGCCGTCCAACCCCCCGTTCCCCCTCCTTTCCAAGCCACCGACCGCTATGCACTCGTCTCCGATAGAGTACTTTTTTGGCTTTCGTCTCCGACGGTGGCTTTTTCTTCTTCTTCGAGGCGGCCACCTACACACACGCACGTGGCAAGGCTCGTTCAACGACGACCGAGCAGACAGGAG